GCACACGTGAAACCCAAGTGCTCAAGAGGGAGGCGAGGAGGATCACAAGTTCCAGGCCAGCCTGGGCTACGAAGACCCGTATCCAAGAAACAAAGGTGTGTGCCAGATCTCGCTAACGTGGAGTCGGCTGTTTCCCCTCATAATTAACTGGCCAATATCTTGAGAGGAACTGCTTAAAAACCTGTGGCTACAGCTTGCATTCAACCTTCTTTGGCCGTAATGCTCCATTCCACATTCATTTGGCCTGTGAGCTTGCAGCCTGCAGCTTCTCCTCTGGCCTGTCGGATGGAGTTTCTGAACCCAGTTGTAGAGGCTTCTGGTCTTCCCTTTCTTTCCCAGCCAGTTGAAAGCCACCTCCAGAGCCTGCCATGCCCTGACTTGATCAAGAGCCCCACCTCCTCATTTGACACTAGGGGAAACTGAGGGCTTTTCAGCTTGCTGGTGACAATGCTGAGCAAGAATGAGCTCTTGTTCACTTCAAGCCCTGCTTTGCCTTCTCAGTCTCCTGAGCGCCCTTCCCCTCAAGTGTCTACCACCTCCAGGCTGTTTGCTTGAGTCCTGATAAGCAGAGAGCCTGAAGCCCTTGTTCTGGGCAGGGCAAGGGCAAGGCCTAGAGTGCTGGCCCCCTTATCTTTTAGAGCCAAGAAAAGTGGGGGAGGGGTGTTTGGGTGACACTTGAGCTGGATAAGGTAACCCAGGGCTGCCCTGAGTCTTGGAATGTGAGGGTGCAGGCAGAGAAGTTGATTTCTGAGTGGCAGGCACCCAGGAGGTAGGTAGCTCACCCCCTGGCCCAGGCTTGGGTTCTATGCAGAAAGACAGGAGGCTAGAGCCTTAGAGGCACAAACAAGAGTGGCTTGGCCCCTTCAAAGGTGAAATAGGGGCTGGGGATGTAGCTCGGATGGTTGAGTCCTGGCCTAGCCTGGACAGACCCCCAGGTTCTATTTCCAGCACTACATAAAACGAGGTGTGTGGCACACAGTTGTAATTTTAACACCTGGTGGAGTTCAAGGTCATCCCTGGCTACACAGTAAGCTCCAGGCAAGCCTCTGCTAAAGTTCCTGCCTAAACAAAAGAAGTAGAAAAAATAAGGGCAGGGGCTTTGCTAAGCGGTGGGCAGGGAGGTACATGAGTGTCGTGGTGATGGTTTAGTCACAGCAAATGCTGCCCACTCCTATCCTGTATTAGGAGACAAAAACAGACTGGAGGGCTTTTCCAGGATGCTGGGAGCCGGGCGCCGTGGCACACGCCTGTATCCCAGCACTCTGGGAGGCAGAGGCAGGCTGGTCTCTTAGTTTGAGGCCAGTCTGGTCTACAAAGTGAGTCCAAGACAGCCAAGCCAAGGGTATGCAAAAAAAACCTTGTCTCAGAAAACAAACAAACACAAAGGATGCTGGGAAAGAACAGAGTGCCTCTTCTGGCTCCATTCAAGAACACAAAATATGGTAGAGTGTCACCCAAGGCCTGCCTCCCCTGGACTTTATGCCTCAGCCCTGGACTCCTGCCCTGACCTCTGACACCACATTACAGATATATAAGGGGCAGCCTGTGCCCTGGAATGGAAATAAACAGTGGACAAGATACAGACCCTTGGACTCCAGCAGACCGAACCCTCTTGAGGGATAGCCACAGCTGGCATTTCGGAGAGCCGGAGGACACGTGTTGGGTAGACAGTGACCAGGATCTCAGCTGCCATGCTGCAGAGCGGAACTGGTAGCTCCGAGGTAGGAGCAGCTTGGGCCCAGGGAAGAATAAAGGTTGAGTGTGGCCAGAGGCCAGTGAGAGACTGAGAAGAGGAAATCAAGGCTGGCAGTGAGAAATTTTAAATAACTTTTGGAGGGCCATATAGCACACTGGCGCCAGTGGGCACGGAGCTGGGCCTGCAGTGGGCAGCTGTGTGCACCGTCAGTGGAGGTAGCTGAATGCTGGGTGGCCGTCCAAGTGAGAGCTTCTCCATAGTTCTGGTAGGAGATGGACTCTGTGTCTGTCTTCTGACATCCAGAGTGGGCGGTTTCTAAACAGCCCAACTTCCTGTGGGAAGACGCTGGGCTCCTAGGTGGCTGGAGAAGGTGTCTCTGACAGTGCTCCCAGGTTGGGGACAGAGCAGCTGGATTCTGCAGAGGGGCCATTCAGGGCGAGGTGCAACTCCACAGACAGTGCTAAGGGCTCTGTTGGGGCCACAGCTCATGCTGTGTTCTAAGTACGAGAGTAAATGTGCGTTCTTTGATCCTGTGCGAGGATGCGCTGGGCTTTGTGGGCAAGTCTGAGCGTGTGTAGTCAGTCGCAGTTTCTCTGTCCTTGCCTATTCGGGCTTTGGGACACACAGACTCCCAAGAGTTGCCTCTTAGATAGGGCTTGTGGAAGCGCGGAAAGTGGTCACCTGCTTGTCTCCCAGGATGACAGCTCCTTGTGTGTGCAGGCAGGGTTGAAGAGACCACAGCAGAGAACACCACTTTCTGTGAAGAGTCTTATAATCCCAAGAGGTGATTAAGAGTCTCTATACTGGAGTTCAGTGACATCACCCCACCTGTAGTAGAGGGCCCCAGGCCCAGGAGACCCTCTGCAGGCCTGTGAGGCTGTCAGTCTGGGAGGGTCTCTCTCTGGCTGGGTTTGTAAACTGCTGGTCAACGTGTCAAGCTCATATCCATCATGCTCAGTACACCTGCATCTGGTGTCAGTCAGAACAGGGAGTGCCTTCTCGCAATAGGAAACTCCTGTCCTCCAGGCCGGCCTGGGTTACAGAGCGAGCTCCAGGGCAGCCAGGGCCACAAAGAAATCTTGTATGGGGAAAAAAAAGCGACTCCTACTCATCATTGGTGGGGGTACAGATTAATACAGACTTTCATTGCACCTTGACTGGTGGTGCTCAGCACCAGGCTGTGAACTTTTGGAACGCTAGTGTATTATGCAGGAATCTCCAGGAAAACAAAAGTGATAGAGTGAATCTCTACATATAGAGATTTATTAGAGTAGCTCATAGGCTGCGGGCTGGCTAGTACAACAACGGCTGTCTTCCAACAGAAGGTCCAAGAATTCAGGAGTTGTCTGGTGCATGAGGCTGGATGTCTCAGCTGGCCTTCAGTATACATTGGCATTCCAAAGAAATGGGAATCGAATACCAGTGCAGGAATGAACTTACCGGAGAGAGTGACGGGAGCAGGCCAAAAGCCAAAGCTTTCTTCCATGTCCTTGCCATAGGATTATAGGCTGCCACCACACAGTATAGCCAGGATTCAGGGTGGGTTTTCTGACCTCTAATAATCCAACCAAGAAAAACTCCTCCCAGAGTGTGGTGGCACATGCCTGGAATCCCAGCGTGAAGGAAGCATCGGTAGGCAGATCTCTGTGTGTGCTAGGCCAGCCTGGTCTATAAAAAGTGAGTTCCAAGACAGCCAGGATTACATAGAGAAACCCTGACTCAAAACAAAACACAAACCAAACACCTCCACAGGTATACTCAGCAGCTTCGGCTTTAGTTAGTTCCAGATATAGTCAATTTGACAACCAAGAATAGCTGTCCTAGCTGGCCCGGTGGCACACGCCTGTAATCCTGGCATTCTGGGAGGCAGAGCGAGGCAGATCTCTGTGAGTTCGAAGCCAGCCTAGTCTACAAAGTGAGTCTTGGACACCCAAGGCTACACAGTTTACGTGGCATTAGGGCTAAGAACCCAGGGCTCCACTCATGCTTGGCAAACACCCTGCCAACTGAGCTACAGTCTCAGCCCCTACTCACTTCTACCGACATAATTGTATGTATTTTCAAGGTACTATGCAATAGTTCAGTTTAGGATTATATTTTTAAAAAATGATCCAATCAGGATTCTTAGCCTGTCTGCTGAGAACATTCAAAATCCTTTCAAAGCTATTTTTATTAGTTTGTTTGTTTTTTGTTTTTCAAGACAGGGTTTCTTTGTGTAGCCTTGGCTGTCCTGGACTCACTTTGTAGACCAGGCCAGCCTTGAACTCACAGAGATCTGCCTGCTTCTGTCTCCCAAGTGCTGGGATTACAGGCATGAACCACCATGCCCCGGCTTAAAGCTCTTTTTAAAAATACGATCAAAATTTCACAATCCTTACACTACTGCTTAGTAGCACACCAAAACCTTTTCCTCCTCTTTAACTGAAATTTGGACCCACTGATCAACCTCTCTCCACCATCTCTCCAGCCCTGGCCTCTGCTCACTAACCCATTTCCTGCTATGAGACAAATGCTTTTAGAGTGCACACCTGAGCTAATGAGTCGAAGCCCTCGTCTTTCTGTGCCTGAGTTATTCCCTTAGTATAATGTCCTGTGGGCTCGTCAGACTTGCTGCAAGTGACAGGGTCTCATATGTATTTATGACTAAATAATATTTCATTGTGTACACTACAGAGCTCTCCTAACAAAAACCATACAGTGCTGGCTTCAAACAACACACGCAAGCCGATGGCTCAGAACAGCAATTCTAGAAAAAAATCCACATAGTTACACCCAATTGGTTTTCAGCAAAAGGTATGAAGAACACACATTTGAGAAAAAAATTAAAAAGTCTCTTTGATAAATGGTACTGGGAAATTGGATATTTTTATCCACACAGAGGAGAACGAATTGAGACTCCCTATTTCCTACACACAAAAAACCAACTCAGTGTTAGACCTGAAACTACTGGAAAAATCACAGGGCTTGGGCACAGTGGTGACGCCTTTAATCCCTGCACTCAGGAGGCAGAGGCAGGAGTATCTCTGAGTTTGAGGCCAGCCTGGTCTACACAGAGCATTCCAGGCCAGCCAGAGGTCTGTAGTGATTTCCTACCTCAACAACATACACACACAGGGAAAACACTTGGGACATTGGTAATTAGGGCCAGTGTTCTACACAAAAGATCCTCAGAGGCCCAGGGGTGAGGCATGGATCCTGTTTGTGCTGAGTTGTCCTTTCTGGGCCCTGCTTTTTGGATTGCTGCCTTTTGGACTGCAGCCCTCCTCACCTGGCTTCCATAACCCCCTATCTCCTTCCTCTGCAGCCACCCGAGAGTCGGCCTTTGTCCACGCCATTGCCTCTGCTGGAGTGGCCTTTGCAGTGACACGCTCCTGTGCTGAGGGCTCAGCTGCCATCTGTGGGTGCAGCAGCCGCCTCCAGGGCTCCCCGGGCGAGGGCTGGAAGTGGGGCGGCTGTAGTGAAGACATTGAATTTGGCGGGATGGTGTCTCGGGAGTTTGCTGATGCCAGGGAGAATCGGCCAGATGCCCGCTCTGCCATGAACCGTCACAACAACGAGGCTGGGCGCCAGGTATGTACACAGAACCCCAGGCTTGTAAATCGAGAGCTGCTTTTTCATTGGGGTCTCCAGTGGGGCAGGGCAGGGGTGGAGGAGGGCTGCCCTTCCGGACTGGGCTGCTCTGCTTACCTTCTACCAGGGGATGTTGCGACACTGCCCAGCTGTACCTCAGGTGTCCAGTGTGTTCCCAGAGGATGCCAAGCTCACCTGTGGACTTAGGGTACCTGGGAAGTAAACGAGTGGAGGCAGGCAGCTGCAGAGCTTGGAGTGTCTGAGGATTCTGATATTGAGACGGGGGTTGGGATGACAGAGCGTTGTTGAGGGTTCCTTCCCCTGGCCGGGGTATGCCTGCATTTCCGGGAGCTGACGCTGAGATTTCAGGAGAAGGTCTGAACTTTTCACACACAGACAAGGTTCCGCCGCAGCAGCCCAACCTCAAATATGCTTAGCGTCCTCACCCAGAGACCCTGTTTCCCTTCTCAGAGAACAGGTTGAATGTCCAGATAGGTAGTGCCCAGCGACATATCAGGTAAGAACTGAGTCATCAACTCGAGAGGGACCTCGCACCACCCAGGCATGTCCGTCACCTTTCCTAACTGTTGGCTCCTCTGCCCAGCTCCTGTAGCCAGGCATCTGCCTGTCCTTCGCTGTAGCAGACATGCGCAGACGTCAAGCGTCACAGTGAAACTTACATCCATACATAAGGAACTTCAGACATTCCACCTCTTTCTAAAGCCCAACACTGGCTCAAAGCTCCTCCTTATCCTTCAAAGCATAGGATGTTGTCCTCTGGAAAACCCAGCTCTCTCAGAATGAATGGAGGGGGTTCCTAGAACAGGGGCACTTAGATCACTTTACAGTGAGAGTGTTGAAGGTGATAATTGCCTCCCACCTGCAGGAATTTCCAGAAAGCAATGTGGAGGAGGGCGGAGTGGGGCAGGTCTTTAATCTGAAGCAGAGGCAAGTGGTTCTCTACGGTCAAGGCCAGCCTGCCCTACCTAGAGAGTTCCAGGACAGCCAGGGCTACATATAGAAACCCTGCTCCTCCCTCAACCTAGAACAAAACAAAACAGAATTTCCAGAAAGCACACAATAAAACAAACAACAAACAAGTGTTTAGCTAGGTGTGATGGTTCAGGCCAGCAATCCCAGCACTTGGGGGCTCGAGGAAGGAGGATTATGAGTTTGAGCCTGGGCTACATTGTGACTTTGAGGCTGGCTTGGGGTACATAGTGAGACCTTGTTTAAAAACAAAACAAAACAACAACAAAGAAAAACCCAAAACACCCAACTTTGTTTAAAAACAAACAGAATTTGTGTAGAGAAGTCACAAAAAATGTCAGTATCCCCAGAGAGATTAAATATTGTACCCATGACACTGGAACAGTGTTTTTTTTTTTTTTTTTAAAGAAGTGAGAAAGAAGAGCACTTAGGAATTAAAAATATTTGGCCTGCAAGATGGCACAGCAGATAAACACACTTGCCTCCAAGGCTGACAACTTGAGTTCAATTTCCACAATCCACAGAGTGGAAGAAGAAACCCCTCCTCCTGCTAGTGACATTCTCTGATGTCACATTGTGACACATGTATTTATATACACACAGAGTAAATGAATGAAAGGTGGTGGGGTTGTTTGCTCTTGCTTTCTCTATGTAGCGCTGGCTGTCTTGATATTCACTATGTAATCAGGCTGGTCTTGAACTCAGAGATCTGCCGGAGTCTGCTCTGGGGTGCTGGGATTTAAGGTATGTGCCACCATGTCTGCCCTTCAGTGTATGTATATATATATGCCAGGCGTGGTGGTGCACACCTATAATCCCAGCACTCAGGGAAGCATAGGCAGTCATATCTCTGTGAGTTTGGGGCCAGCCTGGTCTACAAAGTAAGTCTAGGACAGTCAGAGCTACACAGAGAAACTCTGTCTCAAAACAAAACAAAAATTGATAATGTGCCAGGTGGTGGTGGTGCACACCTTTAACCCCAGTGCTCAGAGGGCAGAGGCAGGCAGATATATGAGTTCAAGGCCAGCCTTGTCTACAGTAAGTTCTAGAACACCCAGGGCTACAAACCCTGTTTTAAACAAAACAAAACAAAACAACTTTTTGTTTGTTTTTTTCTGAGACAGGATTACTCTGTGTAGCCTTGGCTGTCCTCCTGGAACTCACTCTGTAGACCAGGCTGGCCTCAAAGTCAGCAATCCACCTCCCTTGCCTCCCAAATGCTGAGATTAAAGGCGTGTGCTACCACTCCCTGGCCAACAGAACAAATAATGTACAGATATAACAACAAGAACATTTCACCGAGAGTTTTGAAGGGTATATTCACAAGACAAGGGAGAAAATGAGAAGGAAGCTGGCAAGGACATAAGGCAGGACACTTCCCCTAGATCCCCAGACCTGGCTGCAAGGATGGGGAAAGAGGGATGGAGAGATGGCCCGGGGGTTAAGAGAAACAGCGTTTGGTTCTCAGCACCGACACAGGGTGGCTTATAACTGGCTGCAACTCCAGCTCAAGACACTTCCTACCCCCTTCTGCCACATGCACACACCTGGCCACACATTAATACACACACACACCATGTACATAAAAAAATTTTTAGTCTACAAAAAATGGGGAAAATGGCCTTCCCCAAGATACATTATGAAATTCAGAGCATATGCTAGAGAAACCCTCCAAGCTTCAAAGAATATTCAGTGTCCCTGCAAAGGACGGGGGCGTCAAAAGTCATCAGAAGCTTGAAGAAAATAGAGCGATACTTTGGGTATTCTGAGTGACAAAATGATTTTAAACCAAGAATTTCATTTCCAGTTACACAATGAAAGAGGATAGTATAGTGAAAAGATTTGCCCTCACACAGTAGCATTTTCCAAAGTTTACCAGATGGCAAAATGATGGCTTGAAGGTGAAAGGAGTAAATATTTTGTTTTGTTTTGTTTTGTTTTGTTTTAATATTTATATTACATTTTGTGTATATGTGTAAGTTGGGTAATGTATGTTCCATGTGTGTAGAAATTAGGGAACAACTTTCAGGGGTTTTTATTTAATTTTTTTTTTTCAGGACAGGGTTTCTCTGTATAGTCTTGCCTTTCCTGGAACTCAGTCTGTAGACGAGGCTGTCCTGGAACTCACAGAGATCCATCTAGCTCTGCCTTCCTGAGTGCTGGGATTAAGCGCATGTGCCACCACGGCCTACGGAACTTGGTTTTCTTATTTTACCATGTGGTTCTTGGGATGAAAATGGGTAACTAGCTTAGTGGCCAGACCTCCACCCACTGAGCTACCTCACCAGCCATTTTCATTTGTGTTTTGAGACAAGGTTATATGTATTCCAAGCTGGTTTGAATTTTCTAGGTAGCCATCTTTCAGCCCCCTTCCACCTCCCAAGTGCTGGGACTTGGGGCACCACTTTCAGTTCATGAGATGGGATCAAATCCAGGCCTTCATGCCCAGCATGCTGGGAGGCACCCCAGCAACTGAGCTTCATCCCTAGCCCTGACGGTGTTTAGAAATGAGAAAACCATGCCTGACCCATGACGGGTGTGCTGATCACATAGCAAAAAGTTGTGTGGGAAAGGCAGTGTCACCTTAGAGTACGGTTAGAGAGCAACAGAGAGACTTCCATTCAAAATGCAAGCAGCAGCAAGACAAATGCTGTGAGAGCCGCGCACTGCCCTGCATGGCCGGGGAGCATGCTACACCGGGGAGCACAGGCCGGGATCCCTGTTTTAACCAGCAGGCTCAGCAGCCATCGAGCTCTTTGACCAAGTAAAACAGAAACAAGAGAGACTGAAAAAGGAGAGTTGGAAAGAGTCTTGTCTCCAAAAGCCTAGCTGCTAAAGAGAGGGACGTGGGTGTTAGACAAGCTGGACAAGCCAGGCATAGGGCCATTCCCGTGGGCCACTTCGTAGAAGGGTGAAGAAGCAGCTCAGAGCTGGATGAGGTGCAGGCAGGTCTGAACCCAGAATGACTGAAGCCTTCAGCCTTGCAAACCACAGCCAGAGCTCCTCGGATAGTGATTAGCTTTTGGGTAGTTATATTGAAAGAATACCCAGAGCCGGGCGGTGGTGACACATGCCTTTAATTCCAGCACTCCGAGACAGAGGCAGGTGAGTCTCTTTGAGTTCAAGGCCAGCCTGGTCTACACAGAGTTCCAGGACATCTAGGACTACACAGAGAAACTCTGTGTTGAAAACAAAACAAAACCAATAAAAAATACACAGTTAAAATTCACTAGGAGTCTTTTGAAAGACAGAGTCTTACAGTGTTTGCTCAGACTCCCCCAGCGCTCAGTCCCCCAGGCTTAGCACCCCCGGTGCCACGGAGGTTGTGGTCATGTGCCATCAGGAGGGGCTGGTCTTGCTCTTTTATCATAACCCTCTCTTCTCCTTCCTTTCAGTTCCAGACTCGATACAGAATGAACAAAGGGAAACGATGGAGAGAGAGCCTCACAGACTCTTGGCTCCTGGGGTCTGACAAGTGAACTATTACCATAGGGAAGGTCACAGGGGCACATGGGGATGGCCCAGGTCTCAGACTCCTGGTAGTTTTACAGAGCAGTTGGGCAGCAGGCAAGGTCCTTGAGAAGGTACTTCCTAACCACCTAACAGCGTCCTGCCTCTGCTTAAAATGCTTAAACTGACCATACTTCCTAGGCGCATGAGAACTTACCCTATGTGACCGAAGCACACCCTGACCCCAACTGGGTGGGAAGAGCCCCATCCCCTGAAGAGCCACTTCAGCCAGGCCTGATGGTGTATATCTGCAATCCCAGCACCTGGAGGCACAGGCAGGAGAATTGCCACAAGTTTGAGGCTAGCCTGGGTTCTTGCTGAGTTCCAGACCATCCAGGGCTACATAGTGAGAACCTGTCTCAAAATGATGTTTTTATTTTTTTTCCTTTTGAACATTCGAAACCTCACACTCCTCATTTTGAAGCAGTTTTGTTTTGTTGCTGTTGTTGTTTGTTTGTCTACTGTGGCGGTCATTTTGTGCTATAGACTATCAACAGGTATAGATTCCTCCCTTCCAACGATGGGCATCCAGCATGAGAAGCTTAGTTATAGCCAGAGCTAAACAGTGGTAACCCCAAGGCCAGCTCAATATTTCAATAATGCAGTGGATGTTGAAATTATAAATGCAGCTGGGCACCCTGGGATTACACACCCGTAATCCCAGCACTCAGAAGGCAGGGGCAGGTGGATTCCTGTGAGTTCAAGTCCAGCCTGGTCTACAAAATGAGCCCAGGACAGCTAAGGCCAATCTTGAAAAAAAAAAACAAAAAGGAAGGGAGGGAGGGAGGGAGGGAGGGAGGGAGGAGAAATTGTAATCATAAATTCAGTGTCTCCAGTGTTCTTCATGTTTTTCTTACACTGAGGCTGAAGGACTCCGGGCAGGTTCCACAGGGGGAGCGCTTCTAGGAATTTAAGAGGAGAGACACCAGGAACTGGCTAGAGCAGGTGTTTGTGGGCTGGGTGGGGAGGCTGGAGGTCCAGAGCAGAGGAATGGGGAGTGGTCCCTGGGGTAGGGAAGGCTTGGAATCTGAGGACAATGGACAGGGCCACTAGAAAGTTCTGGTGATTGTAGGCCCCTTGTCCCTACTCCTTTCCCTAGAGAAAGGGAGGCAGGTTTCCCTACTTCTTGAAGCACCTCTGTTTCTTCCCTTGAAGAAGGGGCAAGGTCTCCATTGTCCCCAGGGAAAGCTGCTGTTCATCCTGGCCCTGGGAGTATAGGGCCCCAGTGTGTTATCCCTGCTCTGAACTTGTCTTCACACCCTGGCATCTGCTCTGGACAGCCCCCCACGTCTTCCCCAAACTGTCCACCTGAAGCTCCCTGCTTCCTTTACCCTACCCTACACACTCCTGGAAAGAGAATTAGCTGCGCCTACGCGGAGAAAGACGCTCCCAGGCCCCTGAGGCCTTGGATCTGGCAGGGAAAGCCCAGGTTCCACAGGGAAGGTAGTGGCTCTGCGTGCCCACAGAGAGCAGTCTCGCGGACGCTTTCCGGAACAGATGGGCTGCAAGCGAAGAGCAGGCCGCCTGCTTGAGCCGCACCAGGGACGGGTAGAGACGCGGGCTTGTGTGCTTGCCTCCGCAGGCGATCGCCAGTCACATGCACCTCAAGTGTAAGTGCCACGGACTCTCCGGCAGCTGCGAAGTGAAGACCTGCTGGTGGTCGCAGCCGGACTTCCGCACCATCGGGGACTTCCTCAAGGACAAATACGACAGCGCCTCGGAGATGGTGGTGGAGAAACACCGGGAGTCTCGTGGCTGGGTGGAGACCCTGAGGCCACGTTACACGTACTTCAAGGTGCCAACAGAGCGCGACCTGGTCTACTACGAGGCCTCACCCAACTTCTGCGAGCCGAACCCGGAGACCGGCTCCTTCGGGACGCGTGACCGCACGTGCAACGTGAGCTCGCACGGCATAGACGGCTGCGACCTGCTGTGCTGCGGGCGCGGCCACAACGCGCGCACCGAGCGAAGGCGGGAGAAGTGTCACTGTGTTTTCCACTGGTGCTGCTACGTCAGCTGCCAGGAGTGCACACGCGTCTATGACGTGCACACCTGCAAGTAGGAGATTTCCTACTCCTTGGAGCAGGGTTCACGCCTAGGGGCAGGGTTCCTACCTGGGAGTGGGCGTTCCTACTTGGAGGGGTCTCCTGCCTGGGACCCGGTTCTTACTTGAGGGCGGGGCTCCCACCTGTGAGGGTCTCCTACCTAGGGACTCGGTTTCTGGCTTCGGCTGGGGTTCCTACTTGGGGTCTGGGTTCATTTTTAGGGAGAAGCTCCTTCCTGGGATACGGGATTTCTACCTGAGGGTGGGGCTCCATCTGGGGATGGAATTCCAATTTGGGACGGGGGTCCTACCTCATATGGGTTGGGCTCTTCTCTTGACCCAACGGGGCGACGGGGCTCAGACCAGGACAGGTGAGCAAATTCCCTCAACTAGATGGGTTTGTGGATGGGTGGAAGGGGAGGAATTGGGGTCCCTCCTCCCAGAGGCGCTGCTCTAGATAGATAGGAGGCTGATTCAGAGTGGGCCCTACCGGGCTTGGGGGTGCAGAGGGGGCGGGACTTTACTCTGAATGAGTGGAACTTCTGGGCCTGAGGAAAAGGAGACCCTGCTACCGACCGACCGCTGGGGTGAGGCAAGGCTTCTCTGAAGACTCAGGAGAGCAGGGCTCCTGGTTGAAGCCTAGGCTCTGAGCAGGCAATTCAGCTCCCATCTGGCTTTTTCCCAGTACCCATGTAAGGTTCCGCCTGCCAGCGTCATATGTGCATAGCAGGTTCTCCTGGCAGAATAGCCATGGAGAACTCAGGGGTGAGCCCAGGTCCCACCCGCATTCCTGGGGACCTCTTTCTAAGCCCTGCCCCCCTTCTGCCTGGCCTTTTCCACCCACCTTGAGTAGAGAGGGTTCTTAACGGGTGGGGGCTGCTAAGAAGGGTCTTGGGGGCGTGGCGCCTTCCCACCAGAGCTTGCCTCTGCCCTGACACCCAACACTCAGCTCTCCCAGGAAACCCAGCTCCTCAGCTCAGTGATGCTCAGGCTCCAAAGGTGCTTACAGATGTTGGCTTCACTTTAGGTTGTTTGAACTTCAGGGACATCAGGGCACGGTCAAGCTACAGGGTGTCTCCTGGTGCCCCCATGTTCAGGACCGATCTGATCCCCGGGACATGACATTGAGACAATGGTAACCAGATCTCTTGGCCACCAGCCTGTCCCCAAGCTTCTCCAGTGTCTCTCTGGCCTGGAAGTGAGATGCTGCAATCCATCTGCCACAAGAGCTTCCTGATCGCTGCCACTGTGAATTGTCCCCACCTCCAGGCAGGGGAGGAGATGTGGCCACATAGGAGTGTGCCCCAAGAGCACTGAAGAGAGGCTGCGCACCCACGGTGACTGTCTTCTGCCTGGAACTTTGTGTTTGGGGTTGTAATTTTATTTTCAATGCTGCTATATCCACCATCCACTGGATTTAGACAAACGTGATTTTTTTCTTTTTTCTTTTTTTTCTTTTCTTTCTATGAAAGAAATTATTTTAGTTTATAGTATGTTTGTTTCAAATAATGGGGAAAGTAAAAATAAGAGAGAGAGAAAATCAAGTTTGTGGTTTGTACTAGATTTCTTTTTTATTAACATGTATTAGTTGCAAATATTGATGGGGTCTGGTATGGAATTCTGCGCTGATCCCCTGAGGGTGATTCACATTTCCCCTGTCCCTATCACTTGTGGGTCCGCACAGAGTTGGGGATCTGAAGATGCCAACTCAGACTCTGGGGGTCTCAGAACCAAGTAGAGACTGTCAACAAGCCTCTAAGAAGGGCTGTGGGGTCAGAATTCCAAGAAGAGATCATAGAAATAGCTAAGTCAGGAAAAGAGCCATTCAACTGTAGCAAAATCTGGAGCAGGGTAGATCTGAGAGTTCGAATAGAAGGGTGCAGATGGGGTTTTAAGTTTGAATGAGTATGGGAACTGGGGAGCCATGTAGTAATTAGGGTACTTTGGTGGTTCCAGTGAACAGATAAGGGTCACAGGAGAAGAGGCTTAAGCAAGACCCCTCACGCACTGGTGATGCAGAGGAAATGTTTTGCAAATCACCTCCCAGTGAATCCAAATTCACATAGGGGATCCCCCAGGAATACCATATTTAGGCTATGTCAGCCCTTGGGATTCAAGGGCAGTTGCCTGAGACCAGGAATGTCTCAGGTTTCCATGCAAGGGAAGCTCTGGGTGGGGGTGGTTTTTGCTCAGGAGCTGCCATCCTCCCACTTGTCTTCACAAGGGTCCAGGCCCTTAGCCAAGTAATCATCCTGTCGGCAGTAAACCAGCTGATTGGGAGTGGGTATCAGGGGTACCATGGAAGAAAGGGGGGAGGCCTCTCTGAAAGCCATACTTCTCTCAAGGTCACAACTCTCCTTTTTCTGTTCCCCCTATGTCTATCTCTACACTAACCCCACCTCTGGGTCCTGTCTTGATGTCCAGACAACAGGGCAATGAATGTCCTGAAGAAGCTGAGAGCAGCAAGCCTAGTCCTACTTCTCAAAAGCCCAAGTTGAAGTTAGGCAGGATGGCACATGCCTTTAATCCTAGCACTTGAGAGGCAGTGGCAGGTAGATCTATGAATTCAAGGCCAGCCTGGTCTACAGAGTGGGTTCTAGGACCACCAGGGCTACAGAGAAACCCTGTTCCCCCCCACAAAAAAAAAAAAAAAGAAAAAAAAAAGGCCCAAGTTGAGCATAGGCATTGTCCCTGTGTCTCCTTATACCCCTACATCTATTACTGCCAACCCCACCCCAACTGAAGTGATTTGAGAGCCAGCTAGAAGATGGCCACAAGCTGGGCAGTGGTGGCATACACCTTTAATCCCACACTAGCGAGGCAGAGGCAGGTGGATCTCTGTGAATTCAAGGGCAGCCTGTCCAGGACAGCCAGGGCTGTTACACAGAGAAACCTTGTCTTGGGGAAGAGGAAGAAGAAGAGGAAGAGGAGGAGGAAGGCTACAAGAGGAAGTCTAGTGTTCCATAGCTGTATCGATTCACCGTGAACCTTGGAACTAGGAAACCCATGCTGGCCCCCAGAGGACCAAGGGAAAGAGCTGAAATATAAGCACTGTAGGCTTAAGGGAAGGAGGGTTAGGACAACCAGGTAGATCAAGCGTCCTCCCTACCCTCCCAGAGGACAGAAGAGGGACCTGGGGAGAGAGGCAGTGAGGTAAGGGAAACAATTGACTCAACACTGTAGCTGCATCTGTGTGGTTGGTCTATACCGGCAGCTAAAAGCCAAGGCTGCTGTCCATATGCTGCACGAACTTGTCCACAGCCTGGGAGCAGAACACTACGTCACTCTGGCTGAAACTACAGTCTGAATGTCATTTGTCAGAGCAGCCTGCCACTGGTTTTGTGGCAGGGCCACTTAAGGAGGTCCTTAAACCTTTAAAGCAGTCACAAGCAGGCCAAAGACCCTACTAGACTCCTCTGTGGGGAGCCCAGGTCTTGGGGCATAAAAATGAGAGAGGACATGTTTCCCACTGCGTGGTCCACCTAACCTGCTGACCAGGCCCTGTGCTGTTCTGTGCACTCACCCCTTTCAGGGCACAGATTCAGCCTGTAGGCTTGCTGGTCCATGGTCTGAGCCAGAGCAGCCTCAGTCCACTGCACTGAGTACACAGCCCCTCCTCGGTCACATTGTTACACCTAAACACCAAGGTGCCCAGGGTTCCAGTAGAGTACAAAAAGAACAGCCGGCCCAGCCTGAAGGTGTAGACCTATGATCCCAGCTGTCACAGAAGCTAAAGCAGGAGGGTCACAAACTCAGGGCTGCCCAGGATACAGAACAAGATCAAGATCAGCTAAAGTAATGTAGCAAGACCCTGTCACCAAATGAAAAGCACCTCACTTTAAGAGTACTTTGCTAACAGGTGTGAGTTCCTTTGCTAACAGTTCACAGGACTGAAAAAAGAAAAACAACGCAGACTATTAGGGATGTTGACAGTTGAGTGGCCTTGGGAAAGGGCTACTGGGCTGGAGCTCTCTGGCCTCTGGACAGCCGGCTAGGTCTGTTCAGGGCTTGTGGTGGAACAGGCCCAGGTCTCAGACTCTGGGTGTCCCTTCTTTAGCCTTCTGATTCCCCAGATCTTGGCAGGCAGGCAGGCACTCCAGCGACATTTATGCCTATACATAGCTCCCTCTCCTCAGCCCTCAGGGCTTGCTGTACCCCTGCTGGTGCATTCCAGGCAGGCCACCCACTCTCGGGACTGCAGGTGTACAACAGGCCCTGACCTACTATTGGCAGGGCTACCTAGGAATTCCCAGTAAGGGCAAGGGTCAGTGGGGGCCAGCCAGCTGCAGGTGAACACTCTATAAAGAGGATGCCATGTTCAGGGCCAGCCAGGGCAGAATGACAGGCGCCCATTCACCCCTCAGGGGAGTGAGTCACCAGTGGGCAAGGGGGCAGGTTCAGGAAGAGTCCACTTAGCCCGCTGGGCCATCTTGGGTGCTAACAATAATAAAGCCATCAGTCCCCAGGGCAGTGATGAGAGCCCTCAGTTAAGCCTGTTCGACGGATGAGTAGCTCCTCTGAGCTGGCACCCTGGACAGGAGCCACCCTAATTGGTACCTGCTGCCCTAGTGCCCAGATGAAAGGGACAGACTCGACTGGGAGGCGGCAGGGCAGTGGCACAACCAACAGGTCATGGGGACCTGAGAACTCAGAGTTCAATGGGTATTGGGGATCCAGGTTGTCTCAAGACCATAGCAGGGTCCAGATGCCACATAGCTTTTGGGGATGCAGAGCCCATATGTACAGGGAGAAGATAGACCACTGTAGAAGGTTACAGAACCCATATACCTCTGAATAAGGCTGGAGGCTCGAAGCACCTAGGCCTAGAGAGAAAGCAACATTGGCCCAAGGGCACGCTCAGGTGGCCTCAGGTGGGCTCTGGTATCTAGGTTCTGTGCTGCAGTCCCCACAGGCCCAGTATGAGAGATCGCCATGGAGAAGAAGGTCTTGGAGACACATTAGGCTCTGGTCCTCATAGCGATGGTGTAAGAAGAAAGCAAATTCCACAGAGAGAAGGT